TTTTTTTTTTTTAGCTCCCACCAATGAGTGAGAACATGTGGTATTTCTTTTTCTCTGCCTGACTCGTTTCACTCAGTATTATTCTTTCAAGGTCCATCCATGTTGTTGCAAATGGCAGTATATCATTCGTTTTTATAGCTGAGTAGTATTCCATTGTGTAGATAAACCACATTTTTCGTATTCACTCATCCGATGATGGACATGTGGGTTGGTTCCAACTCTTGGCTATTGTAAAGAGTGCTGCAATGAACATTGGGGAACAGGTATACCTTCGACTTGATGATTTCCATTCCTTTGGGTATATTCCCATCAGTGGGAAAGCTGGGTCATATGGTAGATCTATCTGCAATTGTTTCAGGAACCTCCATACCATTTTGCTCCTGCATATGGATATCCAGTTATCCCAGCACCCTTTGCTGAAGAGGGAGTCCCGACCCCAGTGAATAGACTTGATGCCTTTGCTGAAGATCAAATGGCAGTGAGTGCGTGGGTTGATTTCTGGGTATTCTATTCTATTCCATTGATCAGTGTCTCTGTTTTTATACCAGTACCATGCTGTTTTGGTTATTGTGGCTTTGTAGTATAGTTTAAAGTCAGGTAGAGTAATACCTTCAGCTTTATTTTTTTTTGCTCAGCGTTGCTTTGGCTATTCTTGGTCTTTTGTTATTCCAGATAAATGACTGTATAGTTCTTTCCATTTCTGAGAGAAATGTCATTGGAATTTTGATGGGGATTGCATTGAATTTGTATATTACTTTGGGTAGTATAGTCATTTTCACTATATTGATTCTTCCAATCCAGGAGCATGGGATGTCTTTCCATCTTTTTGTATCCTCTCTAATTTCTCTCAGGAGTGGTTTGTAGTTCTCGTTATAGAGATTTTTCACATCCTTAGTTAGTTCAGTTCCTAGGTATTTTATTTTTTTGGTGGCTATTGTGAATGGGCAGGCTTTCTTGATTTCTCTTTCTGCATGTTCACTATTGGTGAATAGAAATGCTACTGATTTTTGTGTGTTGATTTTGTATCCTGCTACTGTGCTGAACTCTTTTATCACCTCTAAGAGTTTTTTTGTAGATGATTTGGGCTGTTCGATATATAGGATCATGTCATCTGCAAACAGGGATAGCATGACTTCTTCTTTTCCAATCTGGATGCCCTTTATTTCCTTCTCTTCTCTGATTGCTCTGGCTAGTACTTCCAGTACTATGTTGAATAGGAGTGGTGAGAGTGGGCATCCTTGTCTAGTTCCTGTTCTTAAAGGAAAAGCTTTCGGGCCAGCCCAGTGGCGCACTGGAGAGTGCGCCGCTTGGGAGCGCAGCGGCGCTCCCATCGAGGGTTCAGATCCCATGTGGAGACCGGTTCCCGCACACTGGCTGAGCGCAGTGCGGGTGCAACACCGAGGGTTGCGATCCCGTTACCGGTCAGTAAAAAAGACAAAAAAGGAAAAAAAAAAAAAGGAAAAACTTTCAGTTTATCCCCATTCAGGATGATGTTGGCAGTGGGTTTGTCATATATGGCTTTAATTATGTTGAGATACTTTCCATCTATACCTAACTTATAGAGGGTCTTTGTCATGAATGAGTGCTGAATTTTATCAAATGCTTTTTCAGTGTGTATAGAGATGATCATATGGTCCTTGTGTTTGGCTTTATTAATATGGTGTATCACATTTATTGATTTGCGTATGTTGAACCAACCTTGCATCCCTGGGATGAATCCCACTTGATCGTAGTGAATTATTTTACGTATGTGTTGCTGTATTCTGTTTGCGAGTATTTTAGTGAGGATTTTTGCATCTATATTCATCAAGGATATCAGCCTGTAGTTTTCTTTTTTGGTTATATCTTTACCTGGTTTTGGTATCAGGATGATGTTTGCTTCATAGATTGAGTTTGGGAGATTTGTGTCTGATTCAAACTTTTGGAATAGTTTGTAAAGAATTGGTGTCAATTCCTCTTTGAATGTTTGGTAAAATTCTGCTGTGAATCCATCTGGTCCTGAGCTTTTCTTTGTTGGGAGCCTGCGGGGGACAGCTTCAATCTCGGGTAGTGTTATTGGTCTGTTCAAATTTTCTACGTCTTCATGGTTCAGTTTTGGGAGCTTGTGTGTGTCCAAAAATTTATCCATTTCCTCTAGATTATCAAATTTGTTGGTGTATAGTTGTTTATAGTAGTCTCAAGTGATTCCTTGTATCAGTTGTAATATCGCCTTTTTCATTTCTAATTGTTGTTATTTGAATCTTCTCTCTTCTTTTTTTTGGTAGCCATGCTAATGGCTTGACAATTTTGTTTACGTTTTCAAAAAACCAACTTTTTGATTCGTTGATCTTTTGTATTGCTTTTTGGGTTTCAATTTCGCTAAGTTCTGCTCTGATCTTGATGATTTCTTTCCATCTGCTAGCTTTAGGTTTAGATTGTTCTTGTTTTTCTAGTTCTTTAAGGTGCAGAGTTAGGTTGTTCACTTACCATCTTTCCATTCTTCTGAGGTAAGCATTTAATGCAATAAATTTCCCCCTTAGTACAGCTTTTGGAGTATCCC